AAGCATTTGCATAGGAAAATCATCAGTAATTGTCACAGAATTTGATGCACGATAATCAACACACAGTCGAATTCCACCGTCTTTCTTGTTCACACAAACTATAGGATATGCAAAAAATCTGCACTGCTTTCTTCTATTAAATCAAGTTCTAACAGCTCTTCAATTTTTTCATCAACTTTGAATTTTAAAGTTTCAGGAATCCGGTAGATATGTGGCTTTTTCCTTTCTTGATTGGGTTTTAATTTTATTTTGTGAAAATCCCACCTTTGCAATTTTTCACTTTACCTGTAAATAACGGTTCGTGCTTTTATGAGTTGTTGAATTTGCTGCTGTTGATCACCCGTTAAATATTCAAGTTGCAGTTCCTTTTTGAGAACACCTTTCCATATCTGGAGATGAAGCTTGCGGAGTTGGATGAATCTCTCCAAATTCTTCCTTCATTTTTCGAAAATAACTCCCACGGCCTTTACTCTAGCGATATACTTTCTGATCTGATTTTATTCACGTGAACATGTCTTTTACTTACCCATCTGAAAAGTTTGACTTTGATATGAATGAAAGGCGGACAGTAATTTTATAATCTCCCCTGGACCAGTACATCTTGCATAGAGTTTATTGGACGAAGTCAGGAATAAGCAAACTAAAAACTTTTATCTCCTACTTTAAATTCTTATAAATTATTTAAAGGATATAGCTCGACTATTAAAGTAATTCGAATAAGCTGCCTGTTTCTCAGATGCTGTCAAAGATGCTTGATCAGCTGCTCGTTCTAAGTTTTATTTTCATTTCTTGTAAATAATCAACAACGACTGATTGCTTCCATATTTAAAGGTATCGGCATTTCACCACTCCCAGCTGGGATTTCAAAACACTCAGTGGACCACGTATCTCTCGACCATACATTAACTTGAAAGGAGAAACACCTGCTAGTAGAATTGGGAACCTCTGCGATAAGTAAAAAAAGCAAATATGGCAGATACTTATCCCAATTAGATGGGCATCCATGCGGATGATGTGGATGCAAGAGCGTTTTTCAAAACTTCGGATTGTACCTCTCGAACAAGACCATTACTAAGCTTGGGTATCCTGGAACTGAAAATTCTAGGATGATGTCAAAGACGCTTCATAAATTCTTGTGTTCAGTTGAGAAATAAAGTTAGTCCCTTGATCACTTGCTATAATTTTTGGAATACCAGTTTTTGTAAATATTTCCAACAGAGTATCACAAGTAGCTTTTGCCCGTTGAAGAACGTAATGGAATGGCATCTGGCCAATGTGAATGTTGATCCATTAAACATAAAACATATTTATGTATCTTTCTAGCCGAAGGAGGTTCTATAGGACCTATAATATCGATATTAACAACTTCGAATGGTAAATAAGGTCTAGAACTGGGTAATAGGAATTCTATCAGTTATTTTTTCGGTACTTCTTAAACTGACATGGTTTCGCAAGATAGGCAATATTCTGTAATATCATTAGCCATATTGGGCCAGTAGAAATTGCATATCTGATTCTCTCTTTTTGTTTTCTTTATTCCCATGTGAGCCCCGAAAACAGATTCATGTGCTAATTTTGAAACATCCTTTCTTTCGATTCTTTGGAAGAACTAATAACTGCTGAAACCGAATCTCCCATTACTTTATCCTTATGAAAAATTATATTATCAAGTTCCATAAAATTTCCTTTCCCCTGTTTTAAATTAATTCTGACTTCTTCTAAAGTCGGACAAGACATCTGCTCCACTCAAAAATTTAATACGTCATTACGTTGATTATTTTCTAATATCTGTATTGGAGTCATTACGGAATGCATGTTGGCATATGTATTATCCCTATTTTATTTTAGTTTCTTCATATGGCTGAGGAATGTTTATTTCAGGCGTATTTGACTTCACGTAATCTAAACATTTATTCGTTTCGCTTTCCAAATTTCATTTCCCCCATTAAATTTGTTTCCCCCTTCAAACCGCATCCGTGGCACAAGAGTTGAAAGGTTCTGTATGGAGTAATAAACAATCTACGTTCAAGCGATCTGTTACCGCTGCCAAAATGTCTACCGGGTAGCTTAATAAATCAGAATCCTCATCTTTCAGTGACATAAATAATTTTCTTAATTTCGTTTCTATTTCTTCGCCAAATGCAGATATTAACTTAATTTTTCCATTAGCTTGATCGGTTGGCGGTACAATATTACTGTTTAATACCAGAATTTGTGTACCTGAATCGATAATAGCATCAATTTCTTTATTTCCAACTAATATTTTCACATATTGCAAAGGCTGAACTTCGACTTGTTTCTTCTTGAGGTATTCTGTATTAATCTGGGCCACAACCGCATCACTTTTGTGTGATTTATTACTTTCGGAAGTAGTTTTATTTTGATTTTCGCATTTAAATTTTTTCTGACAGTCTTTAGCTATATGTTGGAAAGATCCACAAATATAACAATACTTTTTAAATTTAGTAATTTTGGGCAAACCATCCGGTCTTCGCATAGGAGGGGGTACATAGCGGGTACTTTTGGTTTCAATATTTGGTGTTTTCTGAGAATAACTACCGATATCATTTAAAGATTTTCTCTTACAAGCGAAGAACGTGTCACATTCCTTTCCGATTTCCGCGGGTTTTAACCAAGTATCGCCTTGTTTTATATTTATATGCATGGCTGTCTCGTGATCAGAGTTTGCATTTAATTTTATCGGCTACAATTAATTCATGGATTGTATTTAAATCATTTCGCATTCCTTAAGGTGCAATAGTATTTCCACTGTGTCATTAACCGGGCTGCAAACTGTGCATGTGTGTTTCCCCTGACTGACGTTTAGCCTTTTGAAACATATCCAAACATGCTTGAGTAGTTGGCTAATATTCTTTTAAGATTTTATTCTTAACTGCTTCGTAATTTTTGACATCATCTTCACTAACATAAATCAAAGCGTTTGTTGAATTTTCACCTAAAAGATTTATCAAAATTTTCGGCTTTGTGTTCTTCTGGTACATTTTTTTAATCTTAAATGCTCTTTTCTAAGCGAAGAGAAATAAAGTGTCCATGATTCCGGACGAGTCGGAACGGATATCGTTAAAGTTTTTATGCTTTTAATTAAATTTTCTAACCAATGTGTTATCCGAAAGATTAAAATTAGATGAAGCTCTAAGTTTGAGATTTCTAGTTCGTGTTCTTTCTCTAATTTAAATTAGATTTTCTAGCTTCAACCTTTCAGCTTCCAATTCTTCAGTGGATTTCCTATTGTCAATTATGGATATTAGCATAGATTTAACGAATTCAGGATCAGTTTTGTAATCATTACTGTTAGTAATTTTATCTTTCAGTTCTGTGAGTTTAAGACTTTAATCAGCATCCTGACCTAGTTCTTTTGCCAATAAAACTAAATCTTGTTTCTTGACACTTCTAACCGAGAACATTTTGCAACTTTCTTATAACGTCGTAATATAGCGCTAATTAGTTCAAACTATTATAGTAACTTATAATTTATCTCATTATACAGTTTACGTAACTAAAATTTAGAGTCACTTTAAAATAATAGGTAAGCATAAATCACTTACCTTTTCTCCGTTGAAGCGTTAGTTTCGATTCTAATCGTGTCGTACTGCGACAGTGTAAGATCCAGCCGTGTCCGGTGGCGTAATTAATAGACTCAGATTTATCTTTTAATTTATTCACACCATCAACGTAAACTATATACACTTTGTACAAATAGAAATATATAAAATAATAGAATTGTTAAATTTCCAAAATTACCACACTGAGCATACTGAGCATTCGGCCTCTCCCACCGAAAGCCAGTCTCCAACTTACCATTTTTCCGCCTAGAGGGCACTACTTATTTTCAGGGTTACGGTTTCGGAGGACCAGGCACTACACATCCTCTGCTGCACTGTATCATCTTCACCTCTGCATTGCTCAACTGACACTGACACTGACACAGCCCACACTGAACTCTGAACTGATTTGGATAGCGTGTTGTGTATACACGTTACATGCATACAATTCACGTCCAATCATATCCACACGTCCGGGCCACTTTTATATACTTTCCTTTGCTGTGTATCTTTGTAACCTGGAACGCTGTTCTCCAGCCACTTTTATTTGCCACACCGTATGTTGGTGAAATAAAACCAACTACTACTACGTGGAAAATCTTATTTTAAAATTTTGAAGAGCTTTGCTTTCTGAATGCGTAGAAAAAGTTGGAAATTACGTGAATTTTTAAAACACTTTCAGAAGCTTGTTCTAAAAATTATAAGGGGAAAATTACACGAGGAGAAAAATACACGAGTGAATGCGATGCTCAGAACGGCTGAAAACATATTCAGAACACAGGAATGCAAGTAAACAAATAGCAGAAATTTCGTCCGTGCTTTGGAAGTCGAGCTATAGATTTCTCAGTTTTCAGTTGAATATGCTAAGAACATGATATGTGATTATTCTATTAATATAATGACCTGTTTTAGAAGAAGCAAGAACATTTTGAAGTCACTAATTTGAAACTGATCACATTTGTTTTAGGACATTTTGATCCTGGTAAAAAATTAAATAAAATAAAAAGTAAAATAGAGTACAATTCTTCTGCTTAAGTAGAATTTTGCCTTATATTTAAGTTTCAATAAGGTTACTTTTTTTTTAACATTTTTCGTTGCTAGTATTTTTCCCCATTTCTTAAGCATCATTTATGTGATCATCTTCGCCGAAGATCATTTCATATTTTTCATCATCTGAAATTGGAGAGATTTTTTGCGATTTGGAAAATATTTGTAACCTAATTTACGAAGCTGTCTCTCTTTTCTCTCTATATATATGTGTATACATATTTAGAAATCCTTAGGATATATGTATATGTATTTCTCATATTTGCGTCTACTGAGATGAAGAGAAATAATTTTTCTCAATTTATGGTTAATTAACTTCTTAGAATCGCTTTTGTAACTCTTTTGTTTTTCAAATATTTAACTGAAATTTCTGTTTCCTCTATCTTGCAGATTAACTATACTAATTCAGATAGGACAACAGCATTGATGATAGCTCTAAATGTATCTGCTTCAGAAAGAAGACGCGCAGGAAATGCAACTACAAGTCAAACTTATTCATTTACAGATTTGTGTATGCTTTTGATAGAACGTGGATGTGATGTCAATGCTGTTGCTAAATCAAGTGAAACTGCTCTGGATATTGCAATTGAGACAAAACAAGAAATTTTAATTCGAAAACTCCTTATTTCTAGAAGTGACATCGACAGACGAGATATGCATGGTCTTACCCCATTGCACTATGCATGTTTATATGGAAACAAAAGACTAGTTGATTTGCTTATAATATCCGGGGCCAGATTACGGGTGCAAGACTGGGAAACTAACATCGAGTGTTTAGGGCTATTAAATAAGAAAAATATTCATCTATTAAGATATGCTGCTTATGAATCAAAGCAGTGTCTTACATTACAAAACCTGTGCAATATAACCATTCGAAAAAATCTTAGAAATGTAGAAGAAGATGCTAATCAACTCGGATTACCTCCCTTACTGATAAAACATGTACAACTTAAAGACTGATGGGAAATATGTAATATGATATTTTAGCATATGCATCAAAAGGAGACTTATAAATTTGTACTTTTTATGTCATTTCTATTTTGTATAAATTTCTAAGACATAAAAATTAATGAAAATGAATAAAATCGCAAGTATTCATTTGCGTTTTCCCACAAAAGGTTTTTTTTTGTTTTTTTTTTTTTTTTTTTTTTTTTTTTTTTTTAAATTTCTAGAATGGTTGTTTTACATTTATAACAATACAAGCAACAATCATGAAATACGTATATTCTGAATTTACAAGAGCAAAATAATGCACAAATAAAAGTCTATAGATTTTGAAAACTATAAAAAAAGATTATCATACTCAGTTAAAATAACTGGCCGAAAAATAAATATTGGAGATACTGAAGGAAACACGAAACAGCGTAATTAGCATAAATTTTCAGATTCGAAATTTCTAATACAATATTATGCTGATTTTTGTTCACTTTAGAATCTCTAGGATACTATGAGGCTGTTTTATTATAAACATTTTAGCAATAAATAAGATTTCACCGCTTTTTATTTTTATAATTATGTTTAAATAGTGTGGGATATGTTATGTCATGATATTCCCTAATTCCCTACTGTGTGACGTATGCATTGCGTCAGCATGTGTTTCCCGCCTTCGGGAGAAGACGAGGATTAGCTGGCGAGCGGAGCAGACGTCGCTACCCACTGTTTTACCCTATTTAAAGTAAGCAATCATCTGCAACAAAGAAGGAAAAACATTAATTTTTACTGGGCAGCATAAACATGATTAAGTGTAATTAAGATATAATAACTTGCCGACCAAGTATTAATTTAGAAATCAAACAACAAAAATCAGCGTTATATTTTCAAATTTTCACAGGACTATTTTCGACGGTTTTACCGAACTTTTGCAGCTGAGGTTAATGTCCAGGTCTGCATTTCGACCAAGCTAGATACTTCATTTCGGCTGTGTTCAAGGAACTCTGCGACTTATTGGAAATCAAGAAAACGCAGACGACTGCGTTACATCCGGCAATCTGAAGGCATGGTTGATAGGTTTAACCGTATAATTCTTAACAATCTCTCGCTCCTGGTTTTCAAGGACCAGGAACACTGGCACCGTAAGCTGCCCCTGTTCCTGCCTATTGACTGTAGTACTGTCCATTAAAATAGTGCTGTCCAGCTATTCTCCATCCCAGAAGCTCTTTGTTCATGATCTCCGTCTGCCCAGCAAGCTGCCCTCCGGATGTACACTGCACAAAAAAAAAAAAAAAAAAAAAAAAAAAAATGGGACAGTTCTGTATCTCCCGTTCTACTGGGCCAATTGACAAAATTCAAACTGCGTTTTTCATGTCTCGAAAGCGCGACTTAGATATATATTAGATTTATATATAGCATTATTCTAACATAGGTATTTTGACACAAAATCGGACTTTTTCTGAAATAACATACCAATTTTTTTACATATTTCGCTTCTACGGCTCAAATTATGCCAGACTGCCAAGTTTTGCAAAAACGTACGAGTAGTTTTTAAAAAATTAGTTCTCAAAATTTTAACTCCTCAGTGGTAATTGAATTTGGCATATATTATTAATATCTCTTTTTTTATTAAACTTTTTTTATTTTTCCTTTCACATTTCGAAATTTATGTTCATTCCAAATAAAATTCATCCATTTTTTCTGTTTTATTTTTTAAATTTCTATTCTTAAATAATTTTGATTAATTTTTCGAAAAAAATTTTGAATTAAAACCTATAAAATTTTTACCATCATCTTAAAGTAGGTGTAGTTCTAAGCAACAAAAAATTTTTGCATTGTTTTTATTCAAATACCTGCAAAAAATTTTTGCAGTGTTTTTATTCAAAATTTTCTAAGATATACACGGATTTACATATTTTCGCGTTTTGAAATTTTTCATCTTTTTTTTTAGCAATAATAACGCCAAATGTGGTTTATGGATTTTTGTTACAGTGAATTGCCACAGCACTTTGATTTCTAACATTGAATTTCAAATAAATTTCTATGGAGAATTAATTATATGAAATTTTTTTCTACAATGATGCGTAATAAATAATTATTAATACTATATGAAAAGCTATTTTTTTAATTATAGATGATTTTATTCAAATTTTTAACTTTTTTTTTAATTTCTTCCCTTTTTTTAAAAAAAATTAATTGTAAGAGTAAATTTTTATCTTCACCCATTTTCATTTCTACTGCTACTTTACTTCATTTAAATTGAGTTGTCTAAAACTGAGAAAGCTCGTTTGATGTTTATTTTCACAATGTTTTTAAGCAAGCAGGACGTTGACAGTTTGGGTCATGTCCCAGCTTTAAAAATTATATACAGATGGAAGACAAAATAATACGAACACCTGTGAAATAATAGAAAATCTTTATTAATAGGTGGTTGGACAACTCTTTGACTAAGTACAGATTGAATACGACGTGGGATAGATACATAAAGGTCATGGACAATATTTAAAGGAATATTAAGCCATTCCTCCTGCAGAGCGGTCTCTAATTCGAAAGTCCAGATGGGGGTGGAAATCGGGAACGAAGTTTGGACTCCAAATATGCCCATAAATATTCAATAATAGTCAAGTCTGGAGACTGAGAGGGCCAAGCGAGATGTTCAATTGCATCGTCATGCTCTTCGAACCATTCTTGAATACACCAGTGTGGATAGGGGCTTTGTCGTCTTGAAAAAGCGGTCGCTCCCCAGGAAATGCAGTCTGGACAAAGGCCCAAGACCGCGCCAAGATATCGTACCCCATACCATAATGGCACCACCTCCATGCTTCACAGTTGGCAAGAGGCAGTCAGGATGAAACTCTTCTTTGGGCGTTCTCGAGACATAAACGAGTCCAGTCGTCTGAAATAGGGTGAATGACGATTCATCTGACCATATTACCTGTTGCCACTGCTGTGGAGGCCAGCCTTTGTGACCTCTGCACAATTGGCGTCACTTGAAAGCATTAGTTGCTGTCACAAAGGTTTACGAATTGCCACTCTTCCATAAATTTTCGCAGCCTGAAGTCGCTTTTGACAGTTTTTGTTGAAACGGGGTCCTGGAGACGACTGTTCATTTCGGATGTTATCTCGGATTACGATTGCTTGTGCTTTTGGGCTACTATGTGCTTCAAGACCCGTCTGTCCCTATCAGCCAGCTTTGACTTTCAGCCACTGTTGTGCTTTGAAGACGTCGTCTTAGCCTCTTTCGTGTACGCTGTCATAACGGCTGATACCATACTCTTTGGACACCCCACAAAGTTTGCTGTTTCATAACTGATGCTCCACTTAAACGCACTCCAACTATCACTCCTCTTTGGAACTCTAACAGGTCTGGCATTTCAACTTCTCACAGACAGTTCGATCGAAGCATGCAACGCAGGTGACTGCTGTTGAGAGACTGAGACCTTCCTCTTCAGGCTCATTAAATGGCAGACTTCTGTTGCAGGTGACACGGCTGTACTGCAGGTGTGAAATACATCATACGTTTTCATGGATGTTCGCATTATTTTGTCCTCCATCTGTACATAAGTATAAAATTTTACATTAATCCTCTTCGAAAGAATGTTTTAAGTAGCTAATTTTCTCTCGTGTTATAGATTGTATAAAAAACGTGATTTAGATTGTTTATAACCTATATATAATAATCAGGTCACTCAGTGGTACAGAATAAACACTGGTGGACTGTTTTATTTCTTTGTCATTTAGCAAAAAATATTTTAATTAAAATATTTATCCTTTGGACTTTGCTTTAAACATTATTTATAGTTAAAAAGTCTGGAAAATGAAAAGATATCTTCAGCTGAAACGCATTTGATGCAACGGATATTTTAAAAAATTTGACAATGCAAAATTTATGGAAGCCTAGCAGTCGAAAAAACTTAATATTCTTCCTTCAAGCACTAAAAAGAAATGTAGAAGTAAAGAAGGAAATTAGGGGCAAAATTTAAAGGGGAATCTACTTCAAAGAAGTTGAGTGTTCAAAGAGAAAACACATGGATGTGCGCACCAGCAAATAGCAGCAATTGAGTTAGTACTAACGCAAAAGACAAAACCATATCATTGCAGATTAAATTGAAGAGCGACTGGTTTTCGACTATTATGGTTGTATAAATTTAAATTACGTCATAGAATATCATCTCGTATCATAAACGGAACATCCCATGATTTCTCAGATGAATAATTTGAAAATTCAGGAATTTATCCAGCGGCTTTATAAGGTATTACTCCCGCCTTCTTAGCGTGCCTTCGTGGTGTAGTGGTCTGCACGCAGAGTGCATACTCGAGAGGTCCGTGGTTCGGTTCCCGGCGAGGGCATTGCTCATTTTTTATTTCCCCTGCTTCCAAAAAAATACTAATGTCTCTACGGCGGCATCCGAACTAAAAGGTGGTAAATAATGATTCTTCAGCACCAGGATTTGGTGACAGGGTCCACTAATTCCCAGTCCACTGTAAAAGGGGGGGGTATATAAGGTATTTCTCTTGCCTTCTTAGCGTGCTTTCGTGGTGTAATGGTCTGCACGCTCGGCACGTATTCGAGAGGTCTGTGATTCGATTCCCGGCGAGAGCATTGCTCATTTTTCAAGTCCGCTGCTTCCAAAAAAAAAACCTGATGTCTTTAAAATATATATGGATATCATCTAAAGACGTTTTTGCTCTTGATGAAACCAGTGTCTTTCCTTTCATCTCGTGCCTTCAAAAAGCTTAACCATTAAGTCTGATAAAGGCTCTGACCATATACTGATGAAATGGATTGAATTTGATTATTAAATTACGGCAAAGCAGGGCTATCTGCCTAAAAGATGATGCCTTCGTGAAGAACTTTCTAAGGGAAACCAGCTGGCATACACGTTACACATGAAAAAAACCCACGAAAACTCCTATGCAACCAGTCCGTTTGCCGGGATTCGAACCCCGGAGCAAACTACCAGTGTCCAGCGACTTTACCGCTCGGCCGTTTGTGGGCCTTTATGAAAAGAAAGGCGATAAATTTATTTAAAATGAATGTCGGAAATACCAAGATGTTTGGAAAAGTTGGATGCTTTTTAATATACTTGCAGAATATCTGAAGAAAAAGAGCAAGCCATTAAGAAGAAAAAATAAATTTTTGCATAAAATTTAGTATTTTTTTTTAATTTAAAACTTTTTTAATCT